GATGGAGGGCGCGCAGATACTCGGCTTCTTCGACGGGTCCCTGCAGTATCCAGCCAACGGGACACAATATGAAAAGCAGCAGTATACGTATCAATCAATGATGGCGTATACAATCCTATTGAGGAATGTGACACCAACTCAGCAGCAGAACATTCGCTCTTACCGGACCTTCGGCAACTCGGCGGAGCTCGCGTACAGCCATCTGAAGAACCTGTATCAAGCAACAGACACTGTAAACCAGAGCAGGTTAATGGCGCAGTTGACGACAGTCGAAATGAAACCAGGAGAAAAAGGACTGGCGTATATCAGCCGATGTCGCGAACTGCGCGACAAGCTGCTTCGATGCGGAGGGTCAATCTCTGAAGACGCCTTCGTGACAGTCATCATTGGTGGGCTTGGTCCTCAGTGGCGCGCCACCAAAGCCATTCTTCGAGCCCACGGAAGAATCTCTGAAGCTGCACTCTGCGCCGAAATACATGCCGAGCAGCAAGATATGGACCTGCAGGAAGAACGACACAGGAAGAAAACGACAGTATCAGAGTTCGCATTCCACACTCAACGACGACACAGCAATTATAACAACCGACAGCAGCAACCGAAGATAGTACCTCCCTTCTGCCACATCTGCAAGACTTCAGGGCACCCGCGCACACACTGCCCGAATCGTCAGCAATCAACGGCACCACAGCGACAACTTCGACCTTCAAGCTCCCAAATGGCTTCAACACAAGCAAGTGCGACGACCACTATTCAAGCTTCAACGACTTCACCCGGACAACCTGCACAAGGAGCAAGAAATCAACCGCATGACGAAGATAACCGATTCATGTACAACCGAATCACCACCACACTACTCACCGGAAGAAGAGCTTGACAACAGAACGCCTCGCCGTGAGCTACTCCAGCCGAATCCAACGTACGCCGCCATCGCTCAAAGTGAACCGTCCGGCCAAGACACCTGGTTCTTGGACAGTTGCTGCGGGCAACACATGTGCTCGTCCGGGCGTTTCGTACAACGCGAACATCGACTCCAACGGGAAGTGATCATCACGGTTGCCAACAACCAAAACCTGCGCACACGAAGACAAGGAGTGGTACAGCTTCAGTCAAGAGAAACAAATGTCATACTGCACATGTCTAAGGTACTCATCGCTGAAGGACTCGGCTACAACTTACTGAGCGTTAGCCAGTTGATGGCGAAAGGAATTCATCTGGAAGCCGACAGCACGACCCAGGAGTTCAAACTTTACCACGGGAGAGGCGGTCTCTACATCGGGAAAGCAGTGCTGAAGAACAACGTCTTCGTCCTCGACTTCGTTCCTGACCTGGGCACTGCAGACAGCGACGCCATCGTGAATTTCACTGACTGGACACACCCTCCGGATCTCGACCCCGACTTCAGCCCAGGAGGCTTCTGGTACTCGCACACCATTCCTGAAGCAGAACGAACACGAGCATTAGCAACAATTCGACAATCGGCAGCAGTAACAACATCGGCAGCAGCAACAACATCAGCAGCAGTAACAACATCGGCAGCAGCAACAACATCAGCAGCAGTAACAACATCGGCAGCAGCAACAACATCAGCAGCAGCAGGAACAACGACACCAGTCACAGTCGACGAAGCACCACCAACACCCGCGAAACAGCTGAATCCGACTCAACGTGAAGTCCACCGAAGCGCCAACCTCGTCGCCAGCTTTTACTCCAACTCCGACGCATATCAGCGTTCACCTGGACACCGTGCCTCTGAAGAGATCTGGCACGCACGAACAGGACATCCAAGCAACACGGTTTTGAATAACACGATAAGAGCAGGAGTCCTTGACAAAGATTCTCTACTTCTACCCGATGGCAGAGAACTCCAGAAGGCACGAGGGACTTGCCTTATATGTCCCGAAGCTGACTTACCTCATCGACCGTTTGCTTCACATCACAACCCGAGCGCTCCAGCGTACGCACCACTCGAAAAAGTCTACAGCGACATCCTCTACATCCAGCCGACGGCATCGCCGACGTGGTTCGAAGGAGAGCTCCAGAAAGACCTCACGCTCACGGTCTCCTCCACCGTTACACAGTACCTCGGGCTCAACATCCGCGAAGAAGAAAACGCCATCTATCTAAGCGCCGAGAAATACGCCGACACCATCGCGAAACGCTTCAGCCTCACACCAAGCGCCATCTCCACGCCCTACCGCTACACATCAGGAACCGAGAAGGAACGAACTACTCTACTCAAGCCCGCCGGCATACGCGACTATCAGAAGAAGCTCGGATGCCTGCTATTCGCCGCCGTCACCTGCCGTCCTGACTTATCCTACTCCGCAAGTCAGCTCGCCACCTATCTCAAGAAGCCTGAAGCTGAACACCTGGCGGAACTTGATCGCGCTCTCCACTACTTCGTCAGCACCGCGACGATCGGGCTAACCTACCACAAGAGCGCAGCTACACCGACTAAGCTAATCGGCTACGTCGACGCCGATCACGCCGGCGACACCGACAACAGGCGCTCACGCACCGGCTATGTCTACCGCCTTGAGCCTATCGGTCCTATCTCCTGGCAGTCGAGCAAGCAGGAGTTAATCGCACTATCTTCAGCAGAAGCAGAATATATTGCACTCTGCTCAGCCACCAAGGAGGGACTTTACCTTCGCGAACTACTGGAAGAAGCGAAGCTAGCCGAGTTACCCAGCTTCACCGTGTTCTGCGACAACCAGTCAGCAATTCGCATCGCCAACAAAAACGGCTTCGCAAACAGGACGAAACACATCGCCCTGCGCTATTTCTTCGTGAAGGACGAGATAGAAAAAGGGAAACTCGATCTGTCATACTGTCCAACATCCGAGATGGCAGCCGATTACTTGACCAAGAAACTCGGCAAGCAGAAGTTCGAATACTGCATGATGCTGACTGGACAAGGCCACGTCACCAGCAGTAACACTCCAGAAGCGAAGGGGAGTGTTGGAAACAATAAGTCCTAAGTGCGCTTCTGTCGTATCAAAATCCAAGGTACCAAGCGAAGCAGTCCCAATCGAAGCATCGAGTCAACCTCGGAGGTTAGGGTAACCGCCTGGAGGTTACGAGAAAGTCAAAGGTCGCTGACCTTTGACTCGACAATTACAGCGCGACAGTTAAGGACACACAACTGACTCGTTACAGAGCAGTTGCCCGAGTCGCGCTATATCGAACCGCAACAGCAATACAGTTATCTATCTATTCCCTGTACTCTTATATAAATCCTTGTATTTGCTTGTTTAATTCAATCAACTTTGCTCTCACACACCAGTGCAAGGTCGGTTCAAATTCTTCACTAAACGCTTCCGCTATTACAACTACTTCACCTAGAGTTATCCCTTGCAAAGATCCTAAGGGGCTATCTCAGCCCAACAGTACTCAGGTGGATCTCCCGGGACTGGAAGGTCGTGCTCGCCGACCTCATCAAGCGGACCTTTCTTACATGCGGCACCAGCAACGCGTTTGACGGGAGTGAGGACGGCCTCCCCATGGTGCACAGGAGGAGCCAGTTGTCCCACGAAGTGTACGTCGACGACGATGATACCGCCGATGACTTATGGGGCAACAACTGTCAGGAGCCCGAGTTCGACGAGGATGACTAGACCCTCCTATGAATGCTTTACTAGGCTAGGATAAGTAGTTGGTGCAAAGAATTTTTGTAGTGCCAAGGCTGAAGATGTTCAACTTTGTCAAGCTTGTCTAGTGTCATTTCAGTCAAGGAACATTATTGTTGTCGTAGGTAGACTAATGTATAGTAGCTGCTTGGTTGTACCGTATTGTTTCTAATTATATACTCAATTCTTAACAGAAGGGGGGCGCTTATAAAAATTATTGGGTTCTAAGGGGTGTGCTTATAATTGAGGAGCGGCCATAAGCGCATGGCTCCAGAGAGAAGCGCCAGCCATATGGTAAAAAGCCTGGTTGCTTGTTCCTCTTAGCAACAAAAGCTGAAATAGTGTAATACAGCCTACACTGAACTTCTCTTGACGAAACCATCTCCATTCTTCAGATGCAGCGTCAACGTGACTCTTGCGGACGAGGTTCCTCCATTCCCTGTTTCGTGTCGGCAAGTTACCGCCAAAACTTTCGTAAGCTTTTGGTCAACAAACGGACCTTTTTAAACCGATTCGAACCACTTTTTACAGCTAAAGAACCTGCGTTTGCTCCTTCATTCTCGCAGTTTTTAGCTCTTAGGGAGTGAGCTCTTGGCTGTCTTCAGGCTTTCATTTTGCGATTCCTCTTCTGCGACTTGTTTTTTGTTCGCTCAGGCAGAATTACCTAATAACGCTGTCACTAAAATGGCGTCTTTATCGGATGCGGAAAAGTTTGAGGAGCGGCTGTTGTCATTATTTTGGGAAGCCCTTCTTTACCATAGTTCGGACAATGCCTTGTTGCGAGAGATCGCCGATAAAGCTACGCCGCCTAACTACAACCTGGTGATAAAACAGATGGTTTTGCTGCGAACCTTGGAGCATTACTTGAATAAGAACGGGGTCTCCGAAAAAGTTATCGACATTGTCCTAAGACTTGATAGACTTAACGATGAAGATTATGTTAGAAGCTGCCAGAAACCCCACCGCAAAGCACGTGTACTTGGCGTCCCTGTTCCTGATAGAGAAATCTCCATTAACGAGGATGGATTGACACGTGTTGTGGAGTACTTCCAGCAAAAGGAGCTTGCACCACCACCAGGGCCGAAAACTGTGCTAGAGGTCATGACAGCCGTTGCGGTTCGTTTTCTTGGCGGGAAACCATGGGACGATCGCCTGTACCGTAAAGTCTTGGAACGCGTTTGGTCCGGCACCGTGGACGAATCAGAGGATGATGACGTGGACGCAACAGCAGTTGGAAAAGAATCACGTCACTTGCAGCAGTTAAAGGCTCGACGGAAGGAGCTATTGGCTGTCTTGAACGACCCGAGCCTGCAGGATAGGCTCGTAAAAAAGTACCCTGTTGCCGAAGCTGACAAGTTGGTTCGGAGGTACATGGACGATTCGTGGGCTTGGCTCGGACGGCCGTGTTTGGACGGGATTGCAGAGCAAGTGCTTCTAGGGAATGTTATTATGAGGAGGGATGCTGTTTTGGGAGAAGAAAGAGGGCGAAGCGGGGGAGGTGATGGTAGAGGGTTGAATGGTGATGGTAGAGGGTTGAATGGTGATGGTAGAGGGTTGAATGGTGATGGTAGAGGGTTGAATGGTGATGGTAGAGGGTTGAATGGTGATGGTAGAGGGTTGAATGGTGATGGTAGAGGGTTGAATGGTGATGGTAGAGGGTTGAATGGTGATGGTAGAGGGTTGAATGGTGATGGTAGAGGGTTGAATTGTGATGGTAGAGGGTTGAATGGTGATGGTGCCGAGATTCCTGGTGGTCCTACCACCTTTAAAAGTGGCGGTCTTGCTGGTGGAGATGAACGCGACACTGAAGCCGGATGCCCTGAAGGATATGTGACTGTAGCCGCGCGTGATCTTACCAGGAGCTGGTTTCCTGAAGGTATGCACCAATGACAGTGCGTGTTGACCTTGTCTGTTTCTCTCATAGCACCAGGGGGGCTGTCGGCAGCCCACCTGTCCGCCTTTGACAGTTCTCATAGCACCATCTCTTCTGGACCATGTTACCTAGCTTTTTACTCAGGCCCTGATTTTGTTTGCTTTTCTGTGTGACTTGCAGGGCGCTGTCAACATCACGAACCGAGGGAGGAGACGCAACAGCAGGAGCAAATGCAGCAGAAACAGGGGCAGTCACAAGAGCAGCAGGGGCAACAGAAGCTCCCGCAGCAGCAATTTGCCCAAGCACAGGATGAAGAAGCAGCACCTGCAGCCGCCGCCGCTGCTGTCAGTGGTGATGCGGAGCAGATGGTTCGTGAGTTGCGAGAGAGCAGTGCAAGGCTGAAGGCGGTAGGGCAGGACCCGCTGCCTGATGCGCTGCGATTGGCCGAGGCTGCCAAAGCTCAGGCTAGGAATGGTGGCTTGAGGGAAGAGAGGGAAGACGTTCAGAGCAGTAAAGTGAGGGGAAGGGGAAGGAAGGAGAGGGTGGGTTTGGAACAGGTGAAGGAGGAGGAGGAGGAAGAGGAGGGTGAGGAGGACAGGAGGACGAGTGAAGTGGGCATGAGGAGGGAAGGGAAGAAAAATATGGAAGAAGAGGGAAGGAGAGTAGCTAGTGAGACTGGGTTGGAAGTTCTGGGAAAACGAGAGGGTGAGAGAAGAAGGCGTGGTGAAGATGGGAGAGAGGAGGATGGAGAGGGAAGGGATGGGGGTGGAAGGAGGAGAAGGATGATGGACCCTCAACCAACCGCACGCATTCTAGAGGTATGGCACACCACATGAATTTCCTTCTTGCTTTTGGCAAGCCGTGGTGGCCGATCTGAACAGGGATGCACCATCCCATGTTCGAATCCCATTCACCGTTCTCATATGCTCGTCCCATGCAATGCAGTGGTCTGATGATGATGGGGAGTTATAAGAGACTCAAGAGCCAAGCAAGTTCTTTACATGCACAAGCCACATGCTCACTCCCATGCTCCAATCCCATTCACCATTCTCATATACGCGCCCCATGCAGTGGTCTGACGATGACGGGGAGTTGGAAGAGACTCCAGAGCCAACCAAATCCTTTACAAGCACCAACCATATGCTCCAATGCCATGTTCCAATCCCTTTCACCATTCCCATACATGCTCTTCCCATGCAGTGGTCTGATGATGACGGGGAGTTGGAAGAGACGCAAGAGCCAGCTCAACCCCAAGGCCCCAGCAACCGGCATGGCCGCACCAGCATGCCCGCCACAGTGCACCTACGAACGCCCTCCGCCCCCCACCTCTCCCCTCTCAACCTGCATGCCGCTGCTGCTGGTGCTGCTGGTGGCTCTGCTGCTAGAAGTGGTGTGGAGCAAGGAGTGAGGCGGGGAGGCACTGTGACTGCGACTGGGAAGCTGAGGAGGCCCAAGCGGCCGTTCAGTGCAGAGGAGACCAACACACTCAAGATCGGCGTCATGAGGTGAGGCAGCTTGAGGTGCGGCTTGAGGTGCGGGTTGAGGTGCGGGTTGAGGTGAGGATTGAGGTGCGGCTTGAGGTGCAGGTTGAGGTGAGGATTGAGTTGTAGCTTGAGTTGTAGCTTGAGTTGTAGCTTGAGTTGTAGCTTGAGTTGTAGGTTGAGTTGTAGCTTGGGTTGTAGCTTGAGGTGAGGCCTGAGGTGCAGCTTGAGCCTCCGTATCTGAGGAACTACTTGTTTTGATCCGGCTGGAAAATTGTCTCAGCATGTGTTGCGAGTGTGTGGTTCTGGCTGGGGAATTGGGTGCCCTCATCCTGTTCTGTTGTTTCCTCGTTTTCCTTTTCTGTGTTTTCCTCTCAGCAGGTCGTTGATGTTTTGTTTGCCCCATAACACCTGTCTGTCCCTGATGCGTGCTATGCATGGCATGGCAGGTTTGGCAAGTCTTGGAGTCAGATTATGCATGAATACGCTGATGTCTTTGCAGGCCGGACTCAGGCAAGTGACCCAACCCATACCTGCTTGATTCAATGCATTCTGTGTGTTCTGAAATGCTCCCGCATGTTCACCTTAAAGCCCGCATGATAAGTTGCCAGGCCGGGGTTTCAAACGCGGTTGAAACCGGGGGGGCTGTGCTTTGATTCACGCAGGCTCGCCTTGAACGGCTTGAGGCCTACCATGGATGCGCAACCGTCTATCGCAATGGTTTCCTATAACATGTTGCCATTTGACTCCTTTGTATATCAGTGTTATGTGTCTGGCATTGAAGCTTTATTTGTCATGTTCGTGTTCTGATCATGTCACACCACTTCGTCTTTTTGCAGATTGATCTGAAGGACAAGTACCGGAACCTAGAAAGGGCTGGCGAGGTTTAGACAATATGCAGTTTCTGGTTGAAAAAAAAAATTACATTTTTACAATGTGATTTCGTATGTTTAGTCTGTGAATAATAGTGATGCTTTAGTTTCAACAATGTGTATTCCCTAAAAAAAAACACGTTCCAAACATGAATGATGCGTAAAATGGAATGTTACAGTTGTGCAATTTGTTTCATAACATGGAATGTTGATGCGCGCCGCTCACGCTATCCAGCCCGCAACAACCTTCAGATAGCAAGTCTGGGAGACATCATTTGTCGCTTCCCCACCCTACGTTCCGCATTCAGGTGATCATCGCGCGAACAGCCCATAACAGTAATTCCATGTTCACAAAGTTTCACCTGAAAAGCTACCTGCATGCTCACATCGCCTCAGAATTTTTTACAAGGTCCGCGTGGCCGCTGCATCCAGGTTAGGATATCTTCGGCTGGTTGCTTGTCGTTCATCCGCTCAGGTGGTTTCAGCAACACGATGATGCTTCTCACCCAGAATTCCCCCCACTACTCGTGTTCTGTGTCCCAACCAACCCGAGCCAACCAACGTCGTCTCGGTCAGGCGGAACGGCAGCAGCAGCAGGAGCAGCTCCTCCAGCAGAGACCGAACCTGTTCCGCCGAACCTGTGTCGTCTCTTTTATCTCCACACCCTCCAGCATTTCCAGCAGCAGCAGTCAGCCTCTTGTAGCTTCATAGCTCCCATTCCTTCCCATCAGGTCAAAACCAATACAGCTTGCTCAATTCCACATTTCCAAGTTAGTTAATCCAACTGGTAGATTTCTAGAGCAAGATTCTCGCAATGGCACGTTTGTCCGTCCTAGTATGCCTTGCCCTCTTCGCCACTGCCGCGTATGCCGATGTGTGTCCTAAGTTCGTGTGCGGCCCGGGTAACTTCCTCTACGGCAAGTTCACGGATCCCTCAGACCCCTACAAGGAGCCCTCTGATCCCCTGTTCGAGGCTTACTTTACCCCCGGCCAGATGTACAACTACGCGAAGGACAATGTTACCGACGACAAGATCGAGACTCCCCAGCTTGATTGCTACAAGGTTTGCGACTCGTACAACATGAAGCTCCCCAGCAACTTCAACTCGGCTAACAAGGCCAAGTACTGGATGTTCGAGGAGACTTGCCTTGAGGGTTCCGGCGGTATCTGCACGTGCTACAACAAGCTCCAGTGCAAGGACGACAAGAGCTACAGCTCCAAGTGGATGGAGCCCGCACGCGGCGTCGGCACCGTCGACTACGAGGTTCCCGCTAACTTCACCGTCGGCGAGCTTTGCGACGGCAACAACAAGGGTGACCCCCACTTCACCGGCGCTGACGGCTCGCACTTCGACTTCTCCGGCAAGCCTAACCGCAACTACGCTCTCATCTCCGACCCGCACTTCCAGATGAACGGCTTCTTCGGCGGGCGCTACTCGCGCTGGAACGGCGACATTAAGTCCCTCACATGGATCCGGTCCGTTGGCATCATGGCCGGCCACCACACTCTCGTACTCGAGGCGCGCCGCGGTGCCGACGCCGAGTACCTCAACGGCTACCTCGCCCGCGTTGTTGTCGACGGCGTGCCCGTCGAAATCACCGTTCCCGGTACCACCGTCGAGCTCTGGGAGGGTGCCACACTCCGGTGGGAGGCGGCCCGCGAGCTGAGCGGTACCGATCTCGTTGATGTGTACGATGTTAAGATCGGCAGCGTTGCCACCATCCGCCTGACCCTGAGGCCCGAGGTCAAGAACCTGCGCACCGCCACCGACGGAGCAGTTCACTTCGGTCTGGATGTGCTTTCGTCGTCCTTCTCCAAGGCAGTGCACGGTGTCCTGGGCCAGACCTTCCGCCCCGACTTCACCGGCCGACTGTAAGCCCGCTCGCCCGCTTTAGTTTCTCTCTCGCTTTTTGCATTTTAAAGCTTTTTTTTCCCTCCCTTCCCTCGGAGTTGTGTCTCACGGTGTTTTCGCTTGTTTGGTTTATGTTTTGCAGTGCCCAGCAGAAGCTGCAGTGGAGCGACCTCCTCGGTGTGATGGTTGTTCCCGGCGACAACGCTGAGGGTTTCATCGACGGTGGCATGGACGACTACGAGGTGTCGGACTTGCTCAAGAATGACTGCAAGTTCTGCCGCTTCCAGCGCGCCGAGTCGATCGACGATGAGATGTCGATCGCCATGAACATGATGGGCTCGGCTGTCGGCGGTGGCCTCCCCGCTGCCCCCCGCAAGTTCCTTGACACGTACTAAATGATATACGCGGTGTATGACGGTGTACTCTTGCTTAGCTATTTCGGTTGGAGTGTTTCTCCGTTGAATGTACTATAGGGATAATGTCCCGCCGGATATTGGCCATTCCATGGTTTCAGATTTATTTCTATTTAATCAATTTCGTTTGTCATCCAAATATAATTTCTCGTTTTTGTAACGTTTTGCGTGACCAGATCATAGCCTTACAAACACATGGCGTTGTTATCAACGTCATATACATTCTAAGCTGGACAACTGAATTAAAACCTGCGGATCAAGAAGACCAAATCGGTTCATCCCTCTAGTGTCGATTAGATGTCCCCAAAACGCCTGTGATCATTTCCGAGTTCAAGACCTAGTCCAACATTTTCGACACTCCTATTGGTTTGCGGGTCTATAGCGTTTTCACTCAGGGCTGACGTTTCAAATTTAGGTACCCTGAGTTCAACCAAAAAAAAAAAAACAAGAGGCGACGAAATCGTCTTAGGGTTGCGAAGCAACACTCGTAACATGCGTAAGATTTTTTGAACGACTTCAATTTGTTTGTCGTTGTTGGATTGTAGTAAATTGTGCGATTTCCATGTTTTAAAATGATCATGAAATACAGATGTTTTGAGATATAGTTGAGGACAGGCTACTAAATTTTTTTGATAATGTGTATACGTGGTAGTTGTGTTTCATACAATTTCAGTTTTCAAACGTTTGTTTATGTGTTATGATTTGACAGGACTGTAATTAGAGCGAATTGCTGACGTCAGCTGTTTCTAACGCGCAAAACATCGACTGACGTCAGCAGCGTCGAAGGAAATTTGCGCGGAAATTTCTGACGGCGCTGCTGGCGTCACGCGATTTTGTCTCGCGCGTGAAAGATTGCTGACGTCAGTAGCGCGGAAATTTCGAACAGCGCTTCTGACGTCATGCGTTCCGCGCTGTACAGTTTCCGTGCAGCTGGGACCGTTTGTCTGGTAGCCGAGCAGTGAAGACTCGATTTAGCTGTTGCTAACCCGATTTCGATTTCGAGAGACACAGCTGACGTCAGCTGCAATTGTTTGCGCGCGAAACCTCGGGCGACGCAGCTGACGTCAGCTGCAATTTCTCGTGCGCGAAATTCGAACGTCGCTGCTGACGTCAGTCCGAAATTTCTTGCACGCGAAATTTCAGGCGACGCTGTTGACGTCAGCCCGCAATTACATCGCGTGCGACTTTAGTGGTTGCAAGGCGGCCCAACTGTTTCTAACTATTTCGATAGTAAGAAACACCACAGCATTTTGACAGCTGTCAAAACGGGTGACAGTTGTTTGACAGCTGTAAAAACAGTGCTCAAAGTAATAACACCACTTGACGTTTTTGTTTATGCCAGCTGTCATCACTGTTGACGCGGTTTCAAGGTGTCTTTTTCTACGGTAGTAACTGTAAAATTCAGGACCGATCTGATTGCGGAAAGATCCGATTCCAACTGTTTCAGTTTCATATGCCATACTATCTCTAGTGCCATAAACTACAAAAGCCAACTTGTTATGAAGTTGAATGTGGCTGAGAATTGTAGCTATTCCCATGTGCAGATTTTGTACTCACCTCTCCACTGAGTGGCTGAATAACATCAGGAAGGACCATTTGATTCTGTCCAATGAAAACAACTCTTTGGAAAGGTGACAATTGGGCAACAAAAATAGTTCAAGTTAAGGAATGTGCATCAACATCTGAGCAAATTTCATGATACATTTTATGATGGACTCCTGAAGGGCAGTTTTCACACGGGAAAAAAAAAACGTTTTCTAGGAAAGCACCCCATCTTTCCATTCATGCTCAAACAAGTCTCCTTCCACCCTATCTTTCCTTTCCTGCTCAAGCTAATCTTCTTCAACCCCATCTTTCCCTTCAACCCCATCTTTCCCTTCCTCCTCAAGCTGGTTTTCTTCAACCCCAACTTTCCCTTCCTCCTCAAGCTAATCTTCTTCAACCCCAACTTTTCCTTCCTGCTCAAGCAATTCTTCTTCCATTAGGTTAGACAACCTTGAGCTTGCTCAACTTCTCAAACTCATCTCACAATTACCTGAGAACTCTTCTTACAAGTTTCCTGCAACTCTTGTTCTTCTACCGTAGATCTTCAAGCCAACTACTTAGTACGTGCGTCCATAGGTAAGATCACATACTCTAACTGTCCAGAACATCAATTTCGTGTCTCTAATATTGTTCTTTCACCCTTTTTTGTTGCTGTTGCTGAAAAGCTTCTTTGTTATGGTTATTTTTATCTTGATTGCCTTATCTTGATTGCTTCCCCATGTCGAATCCCGTGTGTGTGTCTTTCAGCCGCTCAAGAAGAAAGCTTCCCCGCTGGATTCAAAAACGTGTGTGTGTATCAATGTGTGTGTTTACCTTTTTAACTACATTTTTCCCCTTGAAATCTTTGTTGTGTTGTCATGTTTTCAACTACTATTATAGACATGCACTCTTGGAACATTATGATTTGTGAATGGTTTCATTGCAATTCTCTTTCCTTATTAACTTCTAGTTGCACAAGAATTTCACCAATAGCA